GCGGCCCCCTGCCCCCAACGCTGCCCATCGGGGCGGAGATCGGGGTCACGCAGTGCCCACCGCGATGCCCTCGGTCCCCGTCCCTCAGGCCGGCCCCGCTCGGTGCCGCTCGCTCGGCGGCCGCGCTCTTCCTCTTCTGCGCGCCCCGCTCTCCCCAGCCCCGGAGCGGCCTCCTCGCTCCTCCTCCAGCCCCGCTACCGGGGCCAGGCAGCGGCCACGGGGGCTCGGCACGGCGGGGACAGCGGGGACAGTCCCGCAGCGCGCTCTGCCTCCACCTGCTCCCCGCACATCCTCCCCGGGGATGAGGGATGGGAAGAACGCTGGGACAAGGCACTGCCAGTGGTGCAGGATGGCAGAAAGCCCCTGAAATATGTTTGGGGCAGGGCTTGAGCTGCCCACTCCTGGGGACCTGCGCTGGGGCCGAGCTCTGCCCTTGGCAGAGAGAGACGGAGCTGTGCCACCGGGCACCCACTGTGTGTGCCCTGCCTGCAGCAGGGAGGGAATTAGGGTTCAGGGGCTCCCTGGAAGGGGTCAGGAAGGATGGGAACTTTTCCCAGCAGGACAGGGTTTGGGCAGTGCCGCAGGTCCTGGGTGCAGCCCCAGAGATTTTACTCCTCGTGGCCTGGCGGCTCGAGCGGGCCCACACGCGTGTGGTGGCTCGAGCTGCCAGGGTGATTAACAGCAATTAATTACAGATGAGCAGCAGTCACTGTCTGCTGTCCAAGTGCCTGGCAGCTCCAGAGCTGCTCAGGAGATAGATGGAGAAGCAGATTCTTTCTGGAGGAGGATGAGGATGGAGCTCTGTGCCAAGCCACGCTCCTGACTGTTCCCCACCCTTGGCACCACTGCACATCCCTGCAGCCCTGGGCCAGTGCTAAGGGACTGTTCCCCCCACCTCCTGCCCCAGCCCAGAAGTGCCAAAACCCCCTGTGAGGCTTCCTCCTGCCTTCCCAGCCTTGAGAGGAACCTGTGGCTGGGCCAGTGAGAAGTTGGGCTGCCTGGTTTATTTTGGGCTGGTGTTCTGGTCACACAGCAGAGGGTGCAACTCTGCCCAGTCCCTGCCGTGGGGACAGACAGAAGTGGCAGGTTTGTGTGGGGCTGGAGACACCCATCCTGCTGGAGCCCCAGCAGTGCTGCTCCATCCTGTTACTTAACAGCACGGCAGTAATTCCTGGCAGGCGTGGAGGTGCCTGTCTCCTGATTAATGACATCCACGCCGCTTAATCCGGATCAGGGGAGAAAGCCCAGGAGCTCTGAAGGGCTTTGGGAAATCAGCAGTGCCTGCTGTGAGTGTTTATGTAAGGTGGCTGTGGTGTGCAGTGCCAGAGGCAGAGCTGGGACCGAGCCAGAGGCACCTGGCAGCTCAGCCAGCACCTGGGCACAGGTGAGGTTGGGAAGGCAATGTTGGCTCACCTGGGGGCTCCAACTGCACCAAGGCTCCCTCCAGAGGCTGTGGATGCAGGAAGACCCATGGCCCTTCCCTGGGAAGGCAGCACTGGCCATTGGGACAGAGGGGTGAAGCCACCACGCTCCACCAGCCCCACGCCCGCTGGTGTCCTGCCCCTCTGGAAGTGGCTGCTTGAGCAGTGCTTCACACAGTGACTTTACCTGGAGGGATGGTGGGATGAGGAGATGAGAGGAACCTCTGGCCAGTCATTACACAGGAAAAAGGAAGAAGCCTCTTTAATCTCCTGATTATTTTGAACTCTGTTTCCTTCCCCAGTGCTTGGTTTGGAGCACAAGGAGAGCGTGGGAAGGGATGTGGGCTCTGTCCATCTCCTCACTGTTTTGGGAAGGGGAATTGTCTGCTCCCCAGATAATGGGGAGGCTGAAGCCACCCAGCTGGGATTAGGCTGAGCTGAAGGGACCCAAAGTGAGCCCTGCTCTCCCCCTCACCACACTGTGCAGACCCTGCAGAGCCAGTGAGTGGCCCCAGTCACAGGGCTTTCATTAAGAGCGTAACAAAGAGCCACAAACAAAGCTCAGGATTAGGTGCCCCAGGCACAGAGCTGGGGGCCCTGGCCAGGCTGAGGGTGTCCAAATGGGGCTGCCTCCTCTTCCTCCTCCTCTTCCTCCTCCTCTTTCACCTGCCAGTGTGAAGGTCACAGTTCACGTGTTCCCCTGACTGTGGCAGAAATAGCACCAGTTAATCTGGAACCTAAGCAGCTCTCCTGTGTGCAATTAAAGAGATCACAAGTCTCGGCCCTGGGGAACGTGTGCTGGCAGCTAAAGCCCTGGCAGTGGGGCTGCTGGGCTGGGCTGGGCTGGGCTGGGCTGGGCTGGGCATGGCATGGCAGATGTAATCCCCAGTAAAGCATGCCCTTCTGTTTAGATTCTTTACTGTTGAAAAAGGTTTGTTTGCTCACAACTGTGTTTTTCTTTTACTGGTGTCTGTTGATGTAACAAGGTCTTGCTATTCTGTATTTGCTTTGTTTAGGCATGGCATGGCATGGCATGGCATGGCATGGCATGGCATGGCATGGCATGGCATGGCATGGCATGGCATGGCATGGCAGCTCCCAGTGGCCATGGGGGAGCAGGTGACCTGTGTTTGGGAGGAGTTGGTACCCAGGTGATAAATGTTGTTGAGCTGATGCAGAGGCCTGGAGGAGGCACAGCTCCTACAGGGATATCCTGATCCCAGTGCTCAGCTCTGAGGGTTGAGCCAGAACTGAGTGCAGCCTCAAAGGAAGAGCTTGAGTGGTGCTGGAGGTGAGGAGGGTGAGTGGAGCCTTGCTGGAGCAGTTTGTAGCTGCCCTGGGATGTCTTTGTGCCCCACCCCTAGAGCCAGTCCCGTGGGGGGTATCCCACACAATGGCTGTGGCTGGGACAGGGCTGCAGTGGGAATTCTGCTTGCCTGGCAGCCATAAGGTAGAGCCACTCTGGGCTTTCCACAGTCTCCTCTTTGCTGCAGCAAACCTGGAGTTAATGATGCACTAATTGGGTCTGGCGAGGCCAGCCTGGAGTTATGAAATGATGCTGGGCTGGGCAGGCTGTGCTGGGGACAGTGGCAGCTCTGCGTCCCACCCACCAGGGGTGGCTGGTCCTTCCCTCTTGGTTCAGGGAGGGTGAATCCTGCCTTCACCCCATCATCTTGTACAGCAGTGTCCCCGTGGGGAGGGTGTCCTCCGTGCCCTGGGCCATGGCAGGTCACCTCTAGGTGAGCAACCTCATGGGCACCTTGGCCATGCAGGAAGCTGCTTGTGCCTCCATCCTTCTATTATCTAGCCAGGAAGGTGAGGGAGAACTCCAGGCTGGTCCCTCCTCTGCCATCTCCATCCAACCCCATGCCCAGACCCATCCCATCTCCCCTTGCCATGGGAGCAGCTGCAGAGAGCCCCTGTGGGAATCCACACTCCTTCCCACCAGGAGCAGAGCTTCCACCTCAATTACCATCACCTTGCTCCTAAGCCCTCTTTGCCAATCCCTCTAAGCTGCTTTCCCAGGGCTCCAGCAAGAGATGTATTTATAGCCCACTCTTACTCATGAAGCGTCTCCCCAATTAATCAACTAATAGGATTCTTCCCTCAAGTCCCTCTCCAGGAGCACTCACAGACACACAGCCCCCCCACAGCCCCGGCCAAGGCTGAGTGGGCGAGATCAGATGCCAGGGGAGGGACAGCCAGGGGGGATATAAGAAGCTGCAGCACTGGGAGCAGCCTGTAGTGACTGCGTGGCACTGGGAGTTGCTGGGAGAGGAAGAGGAGAGCGTCTGTCTGTCTGTCTATCCACCTGCCAGGTGAGTGCTGCCTGCTCTGCTGCCCGGGCTCTGCCACGGATTCAGGGTTCTGAGGGTTTGGAAAACAGAGCAAGGGCACTGGTGCTGGGTTGTGGCTGGAAGGAGGGTGGTTTTACAGCTGAGAAATGGGGGAAATGTGGACAAAAAGGATTCCAGTGTGGCCAAAGGACACAGTGGAGGGGTTGGGTAGTGGCATGGGACAGCTGAGCCAAGCCAGGGTGGGTCTGAGTTCCCTCTTTGGGGCTTGGGAGATGCAGAGCAGGAGTTCAGCTCCCCTTCACCTTTTATTGCCTCATCCCCAATTCCTGGGGTCTGGAGGGAGCCAGACTCTGCTCCCACTCCCTTTGCATCTTCTCACCCTGTGAGGATTCCCAGACTTCACATCCCACAGCACCCAAGGACCTCAAAGATCCTGAGCTTGGCACTAATCTCTTGTCTTCCAGTGGGGAAGAGAATCATCCCCTCACTCCCATGGCCATTTCTTCTCTCTCACCAGCTTTCCTGAGGTTGTGTTCAGAGGCAACACTGTCCACGTGCCCCTGGGGCTTAAAATCCTGCCCGGGCTTAAGCTGTGCTCATGTCAGAGCTGCCTATCCCTAAGAGGCTGAGCTCATCCCATTTAATATCCCGGAGAATCAGCTGGTGATCAGTGGGATCTTTACAGGTTCCTTCTGGACATGGGCTTGAGCCAGCAGAGCTTGGGCAGGGCTGGGCAGCTCCAGCCCCACTCCCAGAATAGCGGGTTGGGACTGGAGGGATCCTGTGCCCTGAGACCCCTCTTTCCATGGGGCAGTTCAGCTTGCCTTGACCTTTCTCCCTGTGTTTTCCTCACCTTCCTGTGAGTGACAGGACAAAACAAGCCCATTGCTACCTCTGAGCCATGACAGCCAATTTCCAGCAGACAGGAAAAACTATTAAAATTGAGAATCTATAAGGCCTTTTGTTCACTTTCTTGCCTTTCCCAGTCTTGAACCTGATCCACTGGAAATCACCCCTGTGCTTCCTCTTTTCTGGAGCAACACTCTCTCACTTCATCACCTTTTTGGCCAGGAACAAAGAGCTGGCTCAGCTCCCATGTGCTGCCCCAAAGCCAAACCTGGAGCTCTCAAGCTCTGCAAAGGCGGCAGCACCAAATCCTGGGGGCTCTGCAGGATGTTGGATGGTGGCCATGGCTGGAGTTGCCCCTTCCCACCACCTCATCCAGTGCTTTCCCTGTTTCTCCCCACAGATTTCCTCGTGGACATTCCTGCGCTGAGTTAAAATGGCAGACGGATCAAAGTAAGTATCTTTATTGATTTATTTACCTGGAATTGGGATGGAGCAGGGCAGGAGCAGAGGGGGAAAGTGAGACTCCAGCTCAACCCAGCTGCTTCTCCCAGGGGCTGGAATGTGAGCTCCCATGGAGCTGCCATGCAGACCTGTGTTGGCCTTTCTCACTTGCCCTTAAGACACAGAATCCCCCCACTCCTCCATGGTCACCCTGAGCTCAGGAGCACACCTGGAGTAGCCACACAGCGTGGGTTTGGCCCTGAATTTGCAAGATATGGAATTCCCCAGGAACTGGACACCCTGTTGTGGCTCTTGGTGGTGCAGCACATTTGTAGGGCAGCCCATCATCTCCCTGTGCCCCACCCAGCCTTGTCCAAGGCATTCCCAAATATCCGTCTCTGTTTTCTTCACAGGGTTTTCAAGAAGACCAGCCCCAATAGCAAGGTGAGGCTCTGTGCCCTGTCCCCTGTCCCCTTGTGTGGCCAGCCCAAGGTTTAGGCTGGGCTGGATCTGCCCACAGGATCCAGGCTGGGTCTGCCTTCCCTTTGAAATCTGATTGATTCCTGGACCTGCCACAATGACCCTGCAGGACTGGCTTTTCAAAACAGAAGTTAAAAAATACCTTGATATGACCCCTTCAAGGTGATTCTGGTCCAGCCTGGTGACAAACCCCATGACACAATTCAGGGCTTCGAAATTTGGGCCAATTCCGTGGCAAACATTAACTTGCTTCCTTTCCTCCCTTTCCCCATGTGCTGCTTCCAGCTTTCTCTCTACCTGGGGAAGAGAGACTATGTGGATAACGTGGATTCAGTGGAATCTGTAGGTGAGTGGGGCTGTGTCCAGCACTGAGAGGGAAGTACACGCTGGGGAGGCCAGCCCCAGAGTTGCAGGCTGCTGGTAGAGCAGGAGGAGCAGCTCTGGAGGAGCAAATATCATGTTTTCCTGCAAATATCCTTGGGAAAAACTGTGGGCAAAGGGATAAAGTCCCTTCGCAAAACTACCCAGCCACGCTGCTGGAGGAGGCATCACCATCCCCCTTGGTAGCAGCTCCTCTCATTCTCTTCGCACTTCCAGCTGCAAAGGATTATTTGGGTTTCAAAAGCTGTGTTTTAGCAAAGATCTTTCCAGGCAGCTGAGCTCACCAGTCGTTCTCCTTTTGCTTGTTTGCAGATGGTGTCTGCCTGATCGACCCAGAGTACCTAAAGGACAGGAAAGGTATTGATACAGAAATACAGCGTGAGGGGAGGGGGTGGAACCAGCCCAAAGCTCAGCAGCAGCCTGGGGCTGTGCTCAGGTTAAAGCTGCTCAGTGTCACCTACAGCTCGTTGTCCATCAGGGCCATGCAGCAAAGGACATGAGGGATCCTGCTCATATTTAGTATCTGAGGAAGTCTCATTTCTGCTGAAGAGTTTTTGAACAGCTTGTCTTGCCTCTTTATTCACCCCCTGTGCCTTCCCTGCCTCCCTGCCCTCGTCCCTGTCCTGCCTGGCTCAGTGTATGTGACGCTGACCTGCGCCTTCCGCTACGGCCGCGATGACCTTGACGTGATCGGCCTGACCTTCAGGAAGGACATCTACGTGCTGACCACCCAACTGTACCCACCCGTGCCAGACCAGGCCCCCAAAACCCTCACTCCTCTGCAGGAGAAGCTGATGAAGAAGCTCGGGGAGAACGCCTACCCCTTCACCTTCGAGGTAGGGGCTGCTCAGCCCCTCCCAGCCATGTGGCTCCATGGTGTCACCAGGGCTCAGCTGAACATGCCCTTTTTTCTCTTTTTTCTCTCTTTCCCTGCTCTGCCCAGATTGCCACCAACCTGCCCTGCTCCATCACCCTCCAGCCTGGGCCAGATGATGTGGGAAAGGTGAGCTGCTCTCCCCAGCCTGTGTCCCCTGGACCATCCTCCCTGGGAAGGGGTTGAGTTGTGAGGTGCTAAAAATGAGAATTGATTCTCATGGCCCATGGGGTGAGGGGTGGGCAGGGAGGATGGCTGGAGTCAGTGCCAGGATCTCTGGGAATGCAGTGGAGGAAGGAAGGAAGACAAGGAACCTAAAGCTCAGGCAGCTGTGAGCCCCTCCTGCTCAGTGACCACGTATGTTCCCCCAGGCCTGTGGAGTGGACTTCGAGGTCAAAGGATTTTGTGCTGAAAATCTGGAGGAGAAAATTCACAAGAGGTATTTTCAGGGGATCCCTTTCTCCCCTTTTGGCCTTAAAACTAAACCACAGGATCTTTTTGGGGTGACCGTCTTAGGGATCAGGCTGAGGGGCTTCTTTCAGCCTGTGCCATGCTTGGATGGGGAACTCTGCCTGAAATTGGGGCATTGGTCCCTGTGTCACATGCTAAGAGCCAGGTGAAACTCTCACCCTTTGGCTAGAGACACTGTGAAGTCCCCAAAGAGTCCTTGTGACCCCTTGTTGATGCTGTGGGGACACTCGGGGTGCCACCTGTGTCCCCACAGGAACTCCGTGCGCCTCATCATCCGCAAGGTGCAGTTTGCCCCGCTGCAGACGGGACCGGCCCCGAGAGCCGAGACCACCCGGCAGTTCATGATGTCAGACAAGCCTCTGCACCTCGAAGCTTCCCTGGACAGGGAGGTCAGTAGGGACATTGTCCCCTCTGCCAGGGATGGGGATCAGGATTTCTGGTCACATCACTGAGCCTCTTCCCCTCGCAGATCTACTACCACGGAGAACCCATCAATGTGACCGTCAACATCAACAACACCACCAACAAGGTTGTGAAAAAAATTAAGATCTCAGGTGAGAGAGGGAAAGAAGGGACACGTCCCAGCACCCATCACTGACAGAGATGGGGACCATGAGCCCCTGCTACGTCACCAACACGGCTCCCCCTTGTCTGTCCCCAGTGGATCAGATCACAGACGTGGTCCTGTATTCCCTGGATAAATACACGAAGACTGTGTGCACCGAGGAGATAAAGTAAGGGATGAGGGGCCGGAGGTGAAGTGGCATTTCTGAGAGGGAGGAAGAGAAATGAGGAAGAGGAGGAGGATGGGAGAGGATGGGGGCAGAGGATGTGACAGTTTTACACCAAGCAGCAAAAATGTCTGGGTTAGAAGAGCAGGTGCAGAGGAAGCAGAGGACAGGGAAGGCTGTGGACCACATCCCACCAGCACAAGCCGGTGGTGGCTGGGAAGGTCCCTGGGGAAGATGCACAACTGCTCCCAGGCTTCTTCAGCTCCTCACTTTGCATTTTTGAGGCCAGACACAGCCTCTGCCCTTCTGAGAACGAGGAGGGAGAGAGAAAAGGTGGTGGGGAGAAAAAAGAAGTGGTTGTAGAGGTGAAAGAGAGGAGGGAACGAAAGGAGGAAATGGCCCAGCTGCTGCATGGGGAGGGCAGGGCTGGCCCTGCACAGGTGCCTGCAGTGATGCTGAGCACCCCCAGGCTGGGGCTGGCTCTGAGCTCTTCTCTCCAACCCTTCCAGTGAGACTGTGGCTGCCAATTCCACCTTCTCCAAAACGTACTCGGTGACCCCCCTGCTCTCGTCGAACCGCCAGAAGCGAGGCCTCGCTCTCGATGGCAAACTCAAGCACGAGGACACCAACCTGGCCTCCACCACCATGTGAGAGCTGTGTGGGCTCCCCCTGCTCCCCACCATGCCTTTCCCCACTTCCCCCTGCTCTGGGCTCCCACCAAAGGCCCCTGAGCCCACCCCATCCAGCTGGAAAAATGTAAGGATTTTGTGACATTGTCACCTCTCCATTCTGTAGGAGAGATGTAGCTTCCCAATTCCAATGTTGTTCAAAGCTCCCGAATCCCTCTGCAGGGCTGGTAGGGGCCTCCAGAAGCTTCTCTGTGGCTTCACCCAAGTGCCCTCCCCTCTCTTCTCCTGCTCTTCTCCCCTGCTAAACCCCAGTGCACCCCACATGTTGCAGGACACAAATAAACCCTGGCACTGCCATGGGGGGAGTGGATGGGGTCTGCAGGCAGCACTGCCCTCTCACTGTCCCCCTCTGCCTTTTTCCTAGCCTGAGACCTGGCATAGACAAGGAGGTGCTGGGCATCCTGGTGTCCTACAAAGTGAAGGTCAACCTGGTGGTGTCCCGAGGAGGGTGAGGCTCTGTGGGCAGGGCAATCAGGGGTCATCAGCTCGGGCTGTGCTGGGGGGTTGGTACCCCAGGGAAATGAGAGGGCACTCACACCACGGGCCCCCTCATCCCTGCCCTGCTCCCCTGGGGTCACTGGGCTGCTCTCTGACCCCCACCCCACCACCCCTATTATCGACCATCTTCCACCTCAGTATAAAGCAGAGTCTAACACCTCCCCTCCTCTGCCTTGGCTCATTTCTGTCCCTTCTCTCCTGCTGCCACAGCATCCTGGGGGATCTCACTGCCAGGTAAGGGGAGCTGTCTGTGGGGCTGAGAGTGGGGCTGTGCTGGGCAGGATCCTTGACAGAGCTGCTTTTCCTTCCAGTGATGTTGGGGTGGAGATGCCCGTCATCCTCATGCACCCGAAGCCTGATGACTGTGAGTTGTGTGTGGGATGCTGCTGAAAATCAGCGGGAAAGAGGCACTTCTGGTTCAGGGGGGAGCTGGTGAAAACAGCTCTGGTGCAGCTGCCCCAGTGCCAAGGGCCCTGCTGTGCCCTCTGTGGTATGGGCACAGCTGTCCTGGAGCAGGGTTGAAGCAGTTTTCCCATGGGATGGGCATAGCTGTCCAGCTGTGCTGCACCCATCCTGTGTCCTGGAGCAGGGTGGGAGATGTCCTCCCTACACCACCCTTCCCACTGTCCCCTCTTTCCAGGAAAACACCCAAGCATTGAGGAGAGCTGTCAGTTGAAATGTCCTTTCTGTATTAACCTTTTCTCTTTTCTCTCCCCATCCCTTTCTCCCTGTGCTTATCACTGGAATACAGCTAAGCCAAGGTAAAGAGATGTTCCCTCTAACACACAAACCACACAGATCCATCACAGATGGATGTGACATCCCAGCTTGAGGTCACATCCTTGGATTAAACCAGCCAGGTCTCAAAGCCCTGAGCCTGTGTCACAGCAGCCACTCTCAGAGGCAGCAGGAGAGACCAAATCCTGGGACTGGGATGTGTTCTGCAAACTCCCAGGGCTTATTTGACAATTCCCTTTGCTGCAGCCACAGCAGCTGCAAGCCCAGGCCTTGCCCTGTCCCTCAGAAGCAGCTGGAAGTGTCTTCCAGCCACAAGTGCCATCACTGGACAAGATGTCTCCATGGTCTTGGTCCCCACACAGAGTTCCCTGGGCTGCTGGAAGCTACCTCCCTGTGTCCCTGCACATTCCCCAGCACCAGAGACCTCTTCTCCCAAATCAGCTTCTTCCAGCCGAAGCCACAGCTGGGACTTCTTCCCTCTGGGAAGCTGCAGTGCCAAACCCATTCCTGACAGCCATGGCCCTGCCAAAGGTTTTATGTCTGGTTACAGCCTGCAGCAGGACGTGAGCACTGGGCTTTGGGGCCTGGAAAATCAGGCTGCAATCCAGGCTTTCATACTTATCCCTTTTACACCATCCCTTTCCCAGCCCCGTGAGAACACTTAAACTTCCAAAGAGGAAATCTCTTGGTCTGTATCCACCATGGCTCCATGTAGGTTTTGCCAAATAATTTCACATTCCCAAGCATTTGGAATCTCTTTTGCTGACTCTTTTTTTTTTTTTCTGTTTTCTCCCCCACTTTTCACTTTGTGCTCTCCCTTGCTGGCACTTGCTGCTTGCCTTTCTTAAGGAGGTAACACAGCTCTTTGTTTTCCTTTCCTTGTTTTCCCTTGGAAATGCAAAATATTGTGTGAAAAACCAGCAGAAGCTGCAGGCCAAGCTCCTTGGGTCAGGCAGGCTCACAGTGATGGGGCCTGGGTTTGTGTGCTGGGGCCAGGCTGTGCCTCATGGTGACCTGTTCTGAGTGGGGTGACAGGGCCGGGGTGACCACTGTGCTGCCCCCACCAGGAGCAGGGTTTGGGCTCAGCAGGAGTTTCTCCTCCTCCTGTGGGCTCACTGTGCTCTGCTCTCCCTTCCAGTGAGGAGGACATTGTCATAGAGGAATTTGCTCGCCAGAAGCTCAAGGGAGAGAAGGATGATGAAGATGAGAAGGAGGAAGCTGAGAAAGAGGAGAGCTAAGCTGCCAGCCCCCATGCCCCAGTCTGGGACGCAGCCACCTGTAGTGTCCCCACTGTGCCACACCTGGCACAGCTCCCTCAGCCCCTCACAGTCCCCATAGGTTTCGCCTCCTCACCCACTCCAAGCCCTGGTAGTGGTGGTGAGAGCTGCTGCAGCTCCTCCTGGGCCCGCCACGCTGCAAAGCCCCACGGTGCTCCCTGTTCCCATGGGTACCAGCACAGGGACAGGGACAGGGCGGGATGCAATGGCCCCAACCGAGCGCGTCACCCGCGTGGCTGTCACCTGCCCGTGACATGTTGTGCACAGCTCTGTGACATTGATACCAATAAACCCACCCGGTGGCCCGGTGCAGGCTCTGTGTTGTGCTGGGGGGAACAGACGCTGCCTTCGTGCAGGGGAGGGGAGGACGAAGTGCTGCAGGACCTGGTGCAGCCACTCCCGACCGAGCCCATCCCTGGTACAGCCGGGCCCATCCAAGGTACGGCTGGATGCATCCTGCTACAGCCGCAGGATCTATCCTACGGTCCAATCCCGGCACAGGCAGACCCATCCTGCTACAACCATCCCCGCTACAGAGGGCTCCAGCCAAGCTACACCCGGCTCCAATCCCACTACAACACCCCCGCTACAGCCTGGGCACATCCCGCTACACGCCGCAGCATCCTCGCCCCGGAGGCCGCCCGGTCTCCACGGCAACCGCCCTCCCCATCACCATAGCAACCCCCTCCCGTCGCCATAGCAACCGCCCTCCCCGGCAGCCCGGCCCTCGCCGTTGCCATGGCCGCGTCCCTCCTCCGGTCGCCGTGGCGACGCGCCTCCCCGCGGGGCGGGCCGGCGGTGACGCGGCGGAGGTGACGCGCGGGGCGGTGGTACCGGGGCGCTCGGCGCTGTCTCCTTGTCCCCATCACGGCTCCCGCTCGGCCCCCCCGCGCCGCCATGTCCGCGCCCGGCAGCGGCGGCGACTTCGGGAACCCGCTCAGGAAGTTCAAGCTCGTCTTCCTGGGCGAGCAGAGCGGTGAGCGCCGGGCCGGGCCCGGGTGGGACCGGGAGGGGCCGGCGGGGCGGGGGCAGCGCCCGGGGCCTTGCGGGGCCGTGCCCGGGGTGGGGGACGCGGTTCGGGGAGGGGCGGCCCGGCCTGAGGCCTCCGCGGGCGGGGCCGGCGGGGCCTGGGGCTGCATTCCCGGCCTTTCCCATCGACCGGGGCTCCGTTCCCGGCCCTTCCCATCGGCTGGGGCCCCATTCCCGGCCCTTCCCATCGGCTGAGGCTCCGTTCCCGGGCCTTTCCGTCGGCCGGGGCTCCGTTCCGCCCTCCCGGGCCCGCAGTGCGCCCGCAGCCCGTGAGGGGAGGCGGCCCCGGAGCTGCGGGGGCTCCCGGCGGCGGCGCTGCCCCCCTGGCCGCGGCCTCCCTGCCGCCCTCGCTCGCAGCCGCCGGGGTTTTGTTTTGCCTCAAATGGCCTCCCTTTTGTGCCCCTTCCCTGGGAATAGGTGGATGAGGTGTGTGTTTTCCTCGGGATCGTGGTGTTTTCTCGCTGGGAGTGTCCAAGGCCCGTTGGACAGGGCTGGGAGCCGCCTGGGCCGTGGAAGGTGTCCCTGCCCACGGCAGGGGTGGAACTGGATGAGCTTTAAGGTCCCTTCCGACCCAAATCATCGTGGGGTTATTGCTTCTCACCTACTCCTCGAGTCGGGAGTTTGAGGTCTTGGAGGGATTTCCAGAAGTTTTCTGATTTCCCAGCCTTTCCAATGCAGGATTGACATTGCTGCTGATAGACGTTTGTCTAAGCTGTTTTTAGCCCTCTCCAATGTTCCTAATTTCTCAACCTTTTTAGGCAATTTATTCCTCTTTCCTCTTCTATCCATGTCTTTTGAATTTTTCTTGGCTTCCTCCAGCTTCCTGAGCCAGAATTGGAGCTTTATCTTTGTTTTTCACTTCTTATCAGTTCTGCACCTTGTCTCTCGATGATATTTGGAGATGTAAATTTAAAGTTTTGAAACAAACCACCAGAGTTTGCTCTGTATCTAAAATCTTGTTACAAAGGAAGGATGGGAGTGTGGAATATTGCTTTTCCACGCAGCCAGAGGCAGCAGAACAGCATCTGGGATATCACCTGCTTTGTTTTGATGTTTATGCCCCAGACTTGGGGATTACATAAGGAGCAGAACAGGGTAACAAAGCAGATTTATTGCTTGCCCAAAGCAAACAAGCGGTTCCTTGTTATCAACACACCTGCTTTGAGGGCCAGGTTATCTCCATGATGAAATTTGGACCTGCAGAGATTGATCTGCCTCTGTCATTTTGGGACTGAAATTTCCAGCTGGCTGTTTCCCAGGAAGGTGTAGCTGGAATGGCCTGAGATTGGCAGCTGCTGTCAGATCAGTGCCACTCCCAAAGCAGAGCTATTTTTTTTTTTCCCCAGTGCTGCTTGAAAGTAATTTTTCTCTTCTCTTGTAGTTGGGAAGACCTCCCTGATCACCAGGTTTATGTATGACAGTTTTGACAATACTTACCAGGTATGTGATAGTATTTATTTGCTTTTTTAATATATTTATATTAATGAATCCATGCCCTGCTGTTCAAATTGATGCCTGGGAGCCCATTTCTCCATGAGATGTCAGTTCAAGATCAGATAATAGGTTAAGATGGGCTGTAAAATGGTAAATCAAAGTGGTGTCAGGAAGTGCAGTGTCCAGAAAGGGAGCAAGGTTTAGATCCCCTTTGGATGTGGGATAGATCCTGTGAGAAGCCTTGGGGAAAATGGGGAGAATGTTGTTTTATGGTCAGGATTTCTGATGCTGAATATGGGAGCCTCAGGAAATGGAGAATGAATAAAAACCCAACATATTCTGACATTCCTAGTCTCTGTTATCTTTAGAGCTTCCATTTCAGTCAGGATAGTTGAGTCTGGAGTGTGTAGATGGATCTGCCAGAAGTCAGCTTGGTATATTCTGTCTCTCAATTTTTTTATTACTATTTTTTGACTAAAGGACTAAAGATAGGAAAAGCCAGGGAAGTCTTGGCAGGCAAAGAGGGGGGTGGGGATGAAGAGGCTGCAGATGAAAAGCAGAAGATGTGTAAGAGGCCTGAAGGTTTGGGGAAGAATTAATAGCATCAAAGGCACTCAGAAGTATTTCATGGGAATATCAAATATCTGTAAAGCAGATGAGATTAGGGCTTTATCTTTTAATTCAGCCTGGAAGAGTTACTGGGTTAGATTGGGGTGATTTGAAGTTGAGGACAAGTCACTCACTGAAAGTGGATTCTCTTGTGCTTCCTGTGCTTTTTCTTCTGTTCTTCCTTTCTTTTCCTGACTCTTGTAAGATGCTCTCATAGATTTCTTTATTGTTTATTGTAGTTGTCATAAACCATGGCCTGGTTGGAAAATAGACCTCCCAGAAATAAATTCTCCCTCCCAAAACTGACTGTGTTGCTCTTTACAATTGTTCAGTGGTACACATTCAGCTGTGAGTGTTAAGAGTGGGGATAATGTGCCTAAAACACTAGAATCTGATACATCAGGAGCTCTCTCCTTTTTCCTGCAGTTCTGATGAGCTGGGACAGCTCCTTGATTGAAGTGCCTGGGAGTGCACCTAACTTAGTGCATTATTTTAAATGCCTTTGTGCTGGAATTGCTGTAGCAATGGGAATGGGAGTGGATGCAGACCTGCCTGGGAAATGAAGCTGCTGAATGTCGCTGGAAGGGAAGCACATTCTGAAGTGGAAAGGCCTGGATAAACATGCCTTTTTAGCTTTCAGCTGCCCATATTTTATAGATCTTGTTTGTTCTACCTTTTGGGTATTTCTAACAAGATAATTCTTACCAGACTGAATTGGGGCAGGCCAGAAGGAGCTGCCAGCTCAGATACAATCTGTGTGGAGATACAGGAATCTTGAGTCTGAGGTTAAAATCCAGACTCAGAGGTTCTTGTGGAGCTGAGAAGTGTTGAGGAATGCTGTGAAATGCAGCTGGTGCAGATCCCCAGATAGCTTTGTTTTTATCACTTCAGTTGAAGGCAATTGAAGGCAAACCACTTCACCAGCTTCATAACAAGTTTGTGAACATTTTTGAGAGTTTGTGCAGCAAGGGGATACTGGAAGGCAAGTCACAGCTCCTAATGCTTCTCCTCTTTCCAGGCAACCATTGGAATTGATTTCCTGTCCAAAACAATGTACCTGGAGGACCGCACGGTGAGTGGGGCAGGGCTGGGAGGGCTCTTTCCCCTGACCCTTCCTCCAGCAGCTGCTGGAATCCCCCAGCAGCCTCCAGAGAACCAGCCTTGGCTGAATCCCATCACTGGTACAAGATCTGATACCTCCATCAGGAAGTCAAAATCTTCCATGGAAAATTTGGGCCAGGTAATGGCCACATCCCAGGGAATGTGCTGCCTCTTGTGTGGACCTGCTTTAGGTGCAGTTTGCTCCCTGAATGTGCAGCTCTGCCTCTGGGATTGCCTGGATGAAAAGGGCTGAGCAGACCTCAGGTACCACAGAATATTGTGAGGTGGAAAGGACCCACGTGGCTCATGCAGTGCAGCTCCTGAAGCCAATAAAAAGCCAAGGAGTTGGTGTTCCAAGTCTTTGAAGTCCTTCATTATTAGACCTCGTTCCTTCTCCTAGGAAGTTCTTGTGGTAACACAGCTCTGGCCTACTGCAGTAAAGCAATTTGGGATTTAGCCTGCATGAGATTCCTGTTTGCACAGAGACCTCTCATGCCCTTCTCCTGGATTTCCTCTCAGTATTTGTGGGTTTGCTCGTGTTTTGCCAGTATTTGCCTTTTTCCCATTTTACTGCTGTGTGAAGAGTGTGACAGAGCTGTGGAGAGCAGGGAACACTCCTGTGTGGAGCTTTGGGCCTGCTGATTCCAAAGAAGTCTCCTCCCATTGTGTGTGCTGAATTTCCTGAGAATTTCTCTGCCATTTTAGCAATGATTCCCTCTTAGAAAAGCCCTTCCTTAACCTTTGTTTAAGACAAGGATCCTGGGAATGCTGCTGGACACCTGTGGATG